GCTGAGATGTAAATCATTGGAGATGGGGAAAGCAGTCACAAGAAATATCCTGGTGCTTCCTGTTCCCTTTCCCTTGCCATGCCCTTTGCTCGGGGCTGCTGTGAGGGAGGCAATACCAGGCTGCAACCTTGGGCTGAGCCACTGTAGCTCAGCTTATGTTTGCTCTTTTTCTGTATATTGGTCCTTTGTATTTGGAGATGAAAGGTGCAGCGCGACAGAGAGGCCTCTCCTTTCTACTTCAGAAACTGCCTTCTCATCTCTGGTTTTCCACAGTTCAAACATAAGACTTTGAAGAAGGTTTCAAAGCTGCATCTTGTATATGGAAATTCATGGCTCTGGGAAGATTCATGATCAGCCTTGAGATTTCAAGCTTAAGATTAAGAACATGCAGCCTAAATATAAGTCCTTGTGTTTTGCCCTTCTCTGTTTTTTCTTTTTAAACCCATTAATAGGAATAAGATGATACCAATTTTCATGGATCGTCTATCTAGTTTCACTCTAAGTAGATTTTTCAATTTTCTTGCAAAAACACTAGGCGAAGGAAATATGAGCATAAGTCATTTGGATAAGCTCAAAAAATCAGACTCCAGCTGCCTGCTAGCAAATCTAAGTGACATTATAAATGTTTAGAAAACTGAACTCCATACAGCTAGAGAGTAGCTGAAGGTGCCTCAGTAACCTCTAGAGTGGGGAAATAACCAGCCACTTTCAGAGCAGTAGTAGCAGAAATATCAGGCCATGCGCTGGGCTTGGGGATGGGTTCATTTCACATGTGAAGAATCAGGGAAGAAGAATGAAAGAAACTCTATCCACCATGAGTTTTGTGGTCCTCAAAACAATTCTCTGAACTCACTGAACAAAACCAGTGGGGTGTTTTATAAACGCTAGTTACCCACTTTTATATGTGGATGTCACCCTACCTGATTCCTTCAGGATTTACAGGCACAGCAGAAGCCAAAATCATGTTTATTTGCAATGGAAGCTCAGAGGTTAAAGATCTCAGAGCAAAAGGGGTGCAGACAGCAGGAGCAGGACAGGAAGAGGATAGGTTGGTTTGCCTGGACATAGCAGCAGGACTCTATTAGGACCAGAGGCAGCCACCCACATCTGCAACTGCACCATCACCCATGGGAAGGGGCACCCAGCCAGTCTCTGGAGACCAAAAGGTAGCAAAAGAGGGTGACAAAATGAAAGGATATGTTGGGTTGGGTTTGTAGGTCAGCCTGGGAAACCTGGATTTGCAGCATTTTTCAGTAAACCAGCTGTAGCAGAGAAAAATCAGACAAAGAAACCAATATGTGTCCTTAAATCAGGAAGGAAGGGTTATTGGAAACCTTACTGTATAGGTAAGAGAAAAATTTGAATATCATTGCCTTTTATTAAAGGAAGCAGAAAAGAAAAATGTTTCAGAAATCAATAATAAGGTGAGAGTAACTGCAGACTATGTGGGACGGATGCAGACAAAGTGCCATGGCCATGTGTACTGCAGTTTCACTGATTTGTTAGTAAAAGGAGAAATTTCATAGCCATGAAAATGAAACACCTCTCTACTAAGACAAGCTGAGAGTTGTGGTTGCTTAGCCTGGAAAAGAGCAAGTTCTGGGGCAACTTTAGTGCAGCCTTTTAATACAAAAAAGTGGGCTTACAGGAAAGACAGAGAGAGGCTTTTTACAACAGTCTGCAGTGAGAGGACAATGGGCAGTGGTTTTAAACTTAAAGAGGGTAGATTCAGCTTGAAGGTAAGGAAGAAATTTTTTATGATGGGGGTGGTGGAACACCGGAACAGGTTATCCAGAGAAGTTGTGGATACCTCATCTCTTTAAGTGTTCAAGGCCAGACTGGATGGGCCTTTAAGCAACCTGGTCTAGTAGAAGGCAGGGGTTTGGATGAGATGACCTTTAAAGGTCCATTTCAACCCAAATGATTCTATTGTTCTATGCAATACCAATCCAGAACCACTTTTCAATCTCTTTGAGGGATAAAAACATCTATATTCTTCAGGAGGAGACTGGAGGGCTGGGTTACCAGGATGGCGTATGCTTCATTCATCAGGAGCAGGGGCTACAACCTAGGACTAACATTTAGGATAGTTTCTAGCTGTCATATGTTTCTCCCATTTACAGAGCTGCAGTTAAATAAGTAAGATTAGCCAAGATATATGCAGTTTTTCAGGGCTCTACCAGACTTTCTGCCAGGTCTTACATTGTCAACCTATTAGCATTTCCTCCTGCTTTCTGTTTGCACTAATCCACTGGAAACCCAGCCCTGGAGACCTGCCTCATTGACCCCCATATTCATTAAGTATAATTGTTGGTACTGTATAATGGAATAGCACCAGCACACTTAAAACAGATCCTTGTCATGACAGAGCTTTTACGGGGTTGGCAGGGAGTCCTAATGAGATCCCTGAGCCCATCTATCACCCTCTGCAGCCCCTACAGCTGATTTCATCTTTGCTGCTGTGTGCCAGTCTGACACTGTGTGGCACGTACAAGAACTACAGCAGCCACTGCCACACACAGCCAGAGGACACGTCCCTCTGCTTCACTGCCAGCTCCTCAGACTTGGCACCTTAGAGATGTTTTCTCCTTATCCCTTTCTTCTCTTTTATTCTTCTTCCTCCTACCCCAGACTTCCTGAGAGGAATGGTTTTCATTTAATCCAAGCGTGTTTGGCAAGAAATTCCTTTTGTCCCACCCAGGAGCCAAGGGCATTTTGAGGTTTTGTTGAGCAACAAATAAAGATTTGAGTTGTATTCCTCTGCCTCCATTGTGGCAGTCTGGTTACCCGCCTTTAGCTTTCCACCTTTGGAATCTGATGGAAAAAATGGTGAGAAGACATCTCCTCCTCAAAGCCACTCTTCATAGCAGCTCTTCATTATGCCAAGTGAAAATGAATATAAATGATTCATCCTGGGAAAAGAGAAATGCTGGGTCCAGGCAACCAAATAAAAATACAAATACTGTCAGCTTTTAACAAAAATTGATCTTCACTCAGCATGGCAATCACAGGCAAGAAAAGGGAAAAAAATTCTATATACAGAATACAACTAATAGTGAGTTTTTGTGGAGCTGCCATTCCAACAGGCACCATACAGCCAGAGGTAGTGGTTAGCAAGGGGTGCCAAGAGAATCCCTAAAAATCATACTGCCATGGAAGGGAGATGTTCCAGCAGCACTGAGGACCTGGAAAAAAAATCACCAAGGGCAACTGCCCAAGCAGGTCAGATTTCCTGTTCATTCTGCAATGGTAAATCCCATCATCTGCTCACAGCACAGAAAAAAGGGAGAACATGAGAGCTTCACCCAGGTTTGCAGCTTTAAGTCACTCTTGTGCACAGGAGAAAGTGGTTACATGTGACATGTGCATCGAGTGTTTATACCTGGGCAACAGAGCGTGGTGTGGAGTGCCCTGAGCTAGTGACGACCTGAGCTGGCACAGTCTGCTGCAACTAAGGACTTCAGCAATTAGTCATCAGCAACACGAGACAGGACATCAGGATTTGTCAGTACCTTGCATCCCATAGCAACTCGCCTCAAGGACAGGAGCCCCAGTGAGAGGGAGAACAGGATATACACACACACCTAAGAAATACAGGAGAGCTCTAATTAGTGAATGTGTCACATCAAGAGGAGCAGCATGTCCAAGAGCATTAAGCTTGCACTTTCCAAAGAGGAGAGCTGTGTTTTCAGGTCCCTCCCCTGCCTCTATTCTTTATTCATAATTTTAGGTAGCCATGGTGACTAGTCAGACAGGAGATTTATGTCAGGCTTGGTCACTACTAGAATATACATATAATATGTATGTGTGTGGGTGTGTATATATATATGTATATATATAATATATATAATATGTATACTTGCTTTAGAGCTTTAGAACACCACTCTCCCAATGGGGAGATGGACATAGTTTTACATAATCCTTCACTTCCCCTTCACACAGTGAATGGTATCCTGTATATCCTGTAGACCTTTTTTCTCAGGCTGGAGCCAACTTACTGGAGCATTCAAAAATTAAATATTTTTCTTTCCCCTCTTAGGAGTACGGAGTAGAGATGTGCCCTAGATGGACCCGCTCATGGTGAATGAGATTTTTCTTAATTGGTGCAAACAATTCTGTTTCTCTATGCCCCTCCTCACCCCCAGCCCCCAATAATGCACATCCTGCTTCCAGACATGCTTCTTCCCTGTCCTGGATGTGAGGGTTGGAGGCAAGTAAACCCCATCTGTCTCAAATCTAACAGCAACCACTGTGTCAGATTCTGCCCTGCTTTATGTCTCATAAACATATATTAATGAGTCCTTCCATAAAACCCTTCACAACTACTGTTGTGCTGTAGTAAACTTTCCTTTGGCCTAGTATCAGAAAACGAAGCTTCAGCCCAAGAGAATTTGGCACAACAGCAACTTATCTGCATAACATGTGCATGGTTGTAGAGCTGACATTTCCCTCTTTTTCCAGTATCGAAGGAAGTGGGAACAGGCAACCTGTAACCTACAGCACAGTGTTGTTTCTACCTCCAATTTTCTCCCTACCCAATAAAATGCCTCAGAGACTTTCTGCAAAGCAGGAATATTTGTGCATGGTCCTGCACTTAAAAGCACATCCAGATTATAATTGAATACTTTTCTCCAAAACAGAGATAATAGGGCTTGAGAAAATAATGTTTTACGTGAACGTCTGCTAGAGACAGGCAAGCTGTCTGGCAACAAATTCTTCAGGGAAACACAGCTCAATACTCTTGCTGAAGGGGAGCAAGTGAAATTATAAGACAGGGAAAAGTAATGTGTCTGGAGAGGTTAAATGGAAAAGCCTGACTGCTCCTCTCAATTATCCCAATCTTACTTTGTGAATTCACTGTCTAAGAAGCGCTTATTTCCAAATTATATTGAGATAAGCAAGAGGATAAGTCAGTGAAATTACTAAATGAAAACCAACTCTTTTATATAATTCATGCAACCCAACCAACTTAGTACAACAAATTCCGTACACATTCAAAATATCATGAAAATAGTGTCTTTAATATACAGTTTATATACTTACAATACGCGGTTTAAATTTGTTCATATACATTACAGGGATATTTATTTGCACCTGGTTTAAATAATGATTTGCCTTCAGCCTTTTACACAAAAGCCCAAAACAGCACAGAATTCCACAAAAACCATGCTTCGTTTTATAACGGAAATGTACTAAGCCAAAGTTTTGGGGCTTTCTCTTTTTTTTTCCCAAAGTGTTACTTTTTTGACATATCCAAAGTGAATCTAAAGAGCTAAGAACTAACATATTTTTAATATAATTCAGAAGATTGTCCAAGCCAAGAGAATCACTCTGCAGATTTTCACACTGAAAATTTGGTTGTTATGCACAAAAATGGTAAAGTCTGAACAACTCCTGGACTATTAGGAGTTTAAAATACAACAAAACGAAGAGTCATTTATTGCTAGGTCTCAACAAAGGGCCTGCATTTCCCCATTGCTCTGCCGTCCCTAATACAGCGAATAAAAAGGATGATCCCCTCATGCTGATTAAGATTTCATCTGTACCTTCTGGCTTGTATAAGGGAACCTTGCAACTACAGAGAGAGAGAAAGAGGAGCCAGGAGAGCTGGGCTAAGCCATAGTTCTCTCATACAGGGCTGGTGTTTGGCTTTTAAGTAGCATGGTGTACTCCTTGCCTGGTTGGCAGGCAGGACTTTGCTGACCTGTGTTGCAGGGAGGCACCATGCTGGGCAGCACACAAGTAGCTGGTGCCAGCACAATTTATTTACCAGGAGGACAATCAGGGAGTTGATTCAAGATGAAAACATAGGAGAAAACACTTCAATTATTTATAGACAGGTTTGAAACACAGTGCCTTTTGAGACAGCTTCACTATTTATGCTGTTTCCCTTGAAGCTGTTGTTGTGAAGTCCATTAAAGTGGCAAGTAAAACTGTTGTATTAGAAAAACCCTTGTGTAATACACAGCTACTTCAAACCCTTGCTTCTAGCTGCAAAGAACACTTCAAAATACATTGCCCTTCTAAATTTGGATGGACCAAATGTTTTCTGTCCAAGTTTCTAGCTGTAGGCGATTTTTACAATACGGCAAGAATAAGAACGCAAATATGCACTTTGAGTTGCTTTCAATACAGCTTTGGTTAGCCAGGCAGGCAGCAATACAAAGATTCTTAATCCTAGGCACAATGAGTATTTAAAGGAAACCAGTATTTCCCCTCAAGTTTTCCTCTTCATCCCTCCCCTGCCCAATTCTTTGTCCACCTCCAGAAAAGCCTCCATGCTAGAATCGAGCTTTCACCGCTGAAGGCAGCATCAGTTCTTGTGCCTCCACATGATTGTTGCATAGAAAGGATGTGTTCCCTGGTGCAGGGAAGAGACAGCTCCATACAGAATGACATGCCAGATTTTTTGCTACCAAAACCCCAGACATACAAAAACCCCAAGGATAACATGCATCTCAGACACTGATAACCAAATAAGCACCAAAGACCTTACATTTATTTAATCTGAGGAGAGAAATCCAAGGTTAGGACTGGCCTATTTTAGTAGATTGCCTCAAAAAACTATGAGATTTTAGGCCCACTCTGGCACACGTGTGTTGTCTGAACTCAATGGTTACATCTCTGTTAGTAGACAAAACGGGCCAGACTTTCTGTCAGGCCCCAGGACAATCAACACAACTCCCATCAACATGGTTGAACTCCATTATCCTCCAAAACCAGACTGCTTTTCCACATTAGCTGACCTCTGAGCTGTGCTTGGGAGTTGCCATAGCCTGACATCCTATCTAAAGGTACCCCTTTCCATAATGCATGATCAAAAGGCCAAGCCACCACACTCCAGCTGCCCAGTTTGCTCATCACTCTACTGATTTCACTAGAGCAGATACTTCAGTCCAGCCTGGGCATCACAGCAGATACACTGACACTGCAGTCATACAATTCACAGAACATAAAGGTTAGGAACAGTTAAATCCCCCAAAAGGGCTTGAAAAATTAAGGTGATGAGTGGCTAAGGACAAAAGAAAAGTTTAAATGCTAACACATGATGCATAAAAATAAGTAAGCAGTGCCAAGCCAGAGCAAGACAAATGGAAGGACATCAGTAGCAAGTTTGCAGTTAGAGGTTCTAGCTGTACTTCTGCACACAGCCTCTGCTTCTGCAACAAATGCACATTTCTGGTCCTTTCAGTGGCCAGTTGCATTTTGGTCTATGCATATACAATGTTAATGCAGCACAGTCATGAATGCAAATTCCACCAGGCTGTTTGCAAGAATAACCACTCCAAGCAGGTAAGCAAAGATAACAGAATAGGTGTCCATCCATAGTCAAACAACACTATTTTCTCAGTGATGTTACTATCCTGGGGGGTGTTTGCAGTATTTAATGTTACTATTACCAAGACTACAATCTCTTTTTTTTTAGTCTCTTTGAGATATTTTAGGGTTTTTTACCTGGAGTTAACAAGCCAAGTAAAACAATGAAAAGTACCTGACATTTAAGATTTGGCCCTTTTAAATTTGAACACTCATTTGACACAGTGAGGATAAAAAGGCAATTGATTTCAACTTTCATGTGTCTACCAACAAGCATATATATCTGAACAGTATTTAATTGGATTTAGTATTACTTGCAGCTAGAATATTTTAGGATGCTAATTCAAAAGCATCCAGAGAAAGCTATCGATCTGTTGCTAAAAGTCAATACATTACAAAAAAGAGTAGGATTATGAAGTCCTGAGGTTTTTCTATTGGGATATTTGTTGGCTTTCTAGTACCCACAACAATCAGGCTTTGCTCTCTGGTTGGGAACTGGTGGCTTGCATTATTGCAAGACAAATAATGCATCTTGGCTTTGGCATGGAGATATGACATGAAATTTGCCTCAACTACAGAAAACACTATTTGCAAATAAATTCTTTTTAATGAGTCACCATGGTTGAGAAAACAGGGAAAATTAGTCTCCTATTTTTGTTCCTGCTCTGTATTTTCTCTTGATGCTCGCACTACGTGCCCTACTATGGAAAGATCTTTTTTCTTTTTCTTGTACATCAAAAAGAAAGGCAGGTGATGGTATCCCCCTGGCCAGGGCTCTGCTCAGCAGCAAGTAAAGGTGAAGTTGCTCTAGCATCCCTGGCTCTGACCACCTGAGGATCCTGGACACGCACACTTGTTGAGATGGGACACCACAGATTGTTTCCTGAGGACCTCCACAAATCCTTGAATCCAGTCTACAAAGGCAGGGGATCCCGGGGTTGTTTAGACATATTTCAGAGAGCTCTGCCAACTACAAGAAATCTGTAAAGGACTATCAAAACCTAATCCTACTTCTAGCCTTCTGAGCAGTTAAATTTGAGAGATTTCCAGGGGCAGACTAATGCCCCTTACCATCTCTGTGCTCCCTTTAGACTGCTACTTCCATGTGACATCTACTGCAGTGAGTTTTTGCAGCTGGGCAACTGAATTACCCCTTCCTTTGATACTACAATCCCTCCCATTTGACACCCACTGCAAACCAGACAGTTGAACTGACAATATGACAAGCATTTCCCGTGGCATGGCCCAAAACCTCACTTAGCCCATTCTCCAGCCATGCTGTGTTTCTGATCCCTCCTCCCACCTCACTAATGCTTTAGTTCAAAGGCATGCTACAGGAGTACTATCACCTTCCCACACAGATCCGACCTCAGCAATAGGACAGCAGACTGAGATTTCACATGATTATAACAGCAGCAGAGGAAACATAGGGGGTTGCTACCTTTCACCACAGTGAGGGCTCTGCTAGCAGGCTACTGCTGCAGGCAGGATCTGCTGAGAAAAGATCTGTGCACTGAACTGCCTTTCCCATGAGAAAGCTGCACGACCAGAAGTCATGCTATTTACTCCAGTCATCCGACTACAAAAGCAACTTTTGAAATCTACAGGTCATAAACTTTTAATTGGCCAGGGCAGAGTGGCTCAGTAGAAAATCCCCCTTCTCCCTCCCCTCTGGGCAATGAGCTGACTCTTGTTTTAAAAACATTTAACTCTTTTTGCTCAAAGTAACATGGAAAATGCATCCATGTTACAGATAGTCAGGAAGATATTGTTAATAAAAATAATGCTGCAAGAATAGTGTATTAGTGGCACTTCACAGCAGTTCTTAACATTTTCAGATGTAGTGTCAAAATCAATGTTTTTGTTTATCTGAACATGCTTTTTGTTAACAGAAACGGAAGAAAAGTCACAGCATGTTGCCAAATATTATTTAAACAGAAATAATCCTGTAAGAAATACATTTTTTTTGCAGTTAACACAAAACTGTAAACTGGATTGGTGTGTGTCTTTCAGCATCAAATTGTTCAGTAATAAATACGACTAAGTCTTAACAGACTATGGAGTAAAAGTTCCCTTAGTGTCCAGTTTTTAGCAGCTGTTGAATGTTGAGGGATGCACAAGGCATCTCTCTGCAGATTCTCTACCTTTATTATTGACATAGGAAAAAAAAATCCATTCACCACTCAAAAATGTTTATCTGCATAGTAAGAATTTGTCTACTACTATTTACAGGAAGAATTTTTAGTGCAAAAAACAGGAAGTGATGTATTAGCTGAAGTGTATTGAGTACACCTCGTACAGTTTCACTAATAACTAGTCAGCATCACATCTTGGGCCGCCAGCCATTAATGAACTGTAGGATTTTCTTAACCTGCAATTTGCTTAGCTTGAAGTCTTCTGATAGGATTTCTTCTGTAAGCTGAACCAGTAAATTGCCATCAATCTTCTCTGTAACAAAAAATGATATGACATCTTCAGACAGACCAATAAACCTCAACGATTTAGACACTTCCTCTATTGAGAGTCCAGAAAGGTCCGTGGGTGGCTGCCAGGGAGAGCCATCCCCACAAGATCTTGGTGCCAACTGGAGGTGGAGTGGAGATGAGAAGGGATAAGACACAGAGAACGTATCTTGCATGCCCTTTTTAACCAGATACTGATCTTCCAAGAGGTCTGGAGAGCCAGTTTTTGACTCCTCCTCGGCACCATCTATTTTCAGTGGTAAGGGACACATGTCTGTAACTGCTTTATCTTCACTTGATTTCGGTGCCCGAGGAGGTAAGGCAGGGCACGAGTGGCTCTGTTTTGTGTTGCTGACTCCCAGAGTCTTCTCATCAGTGCAGTCTAGAGAGTAACTCGCTGACTTTGGACAGCTAGAGATGGTGTTTGTGAACTCTGTTGGAGTCAGTGGGGAGTACCCTGCTGGGAGCTCACACCCATCGAAGTCAAAAGTCAAAGGTGCTGGACAGTTTCTCTTTGGCGTACCTGGAGTCTTCTGTCTGGGGTAACTGTAGCTCCTGCTTGGATCGAGCAGGAAATCACTTCTATTCAGAGCTTCAGCAGTTCCTGAAAAATGGTTTGGCCAAGATAACCTCGAAGGCAGAGCTTCAGCTGAGGGGCTTCCCAAAGGCATCATGCTCTCAGGCTCTTTGGATTCAGTTTTCATCATGTTACAAGGGTAGCAGGAAACAGGTGTGCTCTCAGTTGGGTTGGTGTGGTCGCTCTCTGTGACATTACTTAAGGAACAAAGCAGAAAGGATGTTGTTAGTATGAAAAAATGTGGCATTTGAATAAACTCATAAATCATCTGACAGAGTCAGAGGGTGGCTGTCACAAGGAAAGAATCTTCTTTCCTTTGGCAGAGCTTTTCATATTTGAATTAACACATTTGAATTAATGCATCGATAGTTCTTTTACCCCCTCTACAAGCCTGACAAGATTCTGATATACCCAAAAGCCTCATGTCTTGGTTTTTCAAGCTTGTTAAAAAGTAGATGTCTCAATTCAGCTCTGTGTCATCTCACAAATACTCAGTTTTTCACTGTTGAATTCCTGAGGGATACCACCATGGATAAGAAACAGCTTCACCTATACTAGAAGACATTCTAATCCAGTATTTTTTATTTTTATACCACAGATGTGTCATGGTATGCAAAAGCTCATATCAGAGCAGGTCACCATTGTACTAGACCATGTGCACCAGTGCACAGACACAGAGTAAGTTAATGCTTACTGCCAAAGGAAGAGTTTTACATGGAAGGGTAGGTAGACTTAGCTGTATGTGTTGAAATATCAGGCTTTAAGCTTACCCCACAGTAACTTCTTTGTGTGTCCATATCTTTAAAAAGCTTTGACAAGAAATATATGCTCTTCAAAGGCACCTAAAGAAAGTCACCCTGACCTACTTCCAGGTAGTGAACTAAGCTCAGCTTGTCTGAAGGAACTGATGGTTTATATCCAGGTGTTCCCATGAGACAGAGATGCCAACAAAAGCACACAACCTGTTCTCGAAAGCAAATGTTTGCTGCTTTTATGCCACCTTCTAAAAGAAAGTCTGAAAGATTGTGTGATCTTTGGAATTTTGGCCAACTAAGCGAGAACACTGGAAGAACAATCAGTAGACTTTCCTTGCTCAACACAACAGATGGAAACCAACAGTTGAAAAAAAATGTTTTAATTACTCACCTCTGTCTCCTGAAAACCAGCTACTCAAGAAAGAAATTCAATATGCATGCCATGACAGCTCAGTGAAAACTGCTTGAGAACTGTAGCAGCTTTCAAAAAACCAGCATAGTTTTGAATGAATTGACAAAAAATTACTTCCCTGTGTGCTTACATTGAGTCAAGAGAGGAAGGCAACCTGGAATTGCCCAGGTCAAACACAAAGTGCAGATGTGTAAAAGCAGCTCTAATCTATATCACTGGAAAATATCAGCCCCAACAGATGCAGTTTCCCTCTATCTAATCATCCCTCCGTCTCCACTCCATGCCTTCCAAGCTTTTTTCCTGTTATGTCACTAATACAAGTCTGCCAGGTAAAGCAGCTGCACGTTTACAATAGCAGAGATGCGTTTTTTTTCTCCCCTCAACAAGGATACACCATCAACTGATCATTTCTGGCTGCTTAAAGATCAAATGGTGTAACATACACAGTGGAAATCATTTTTCACAAGCCAAGCCATGAGGCTGCCCCATTCAGAGGAATCAGTCAGTGAGGTGGTGTCAACAACTAACTGTATAGACAAATTAAATCAACTGATGCTGTTTCTGTTCTCTAATTCAATATTAGAACTGGCAATATTTAATGACTTAAAAGATTAACAGAATTACTGAAAACTGACAAAATAACATTTTCAAAGTGTTTCCTTATTAGTCCTTCACCAAAATTAACTCTCTGGGATTCACTGCCAAAGGATTTAAGAGAAACCCCAAATACAGCTGAAGCCAGATATGAGGCATTTTTATAGACAGATAAGGACAAATCATACTGTTCTTTATTTGTGTTTAAAATATTGGCTGCAACCCTTCACAATCCAGAAAATAAGATCATTGATATAAATGGCAAAGCAGCTTCACCAGTAATCTGGTTACTCCACACATTGCTAACTTTCTAGTAGCTTCCTCTGCAGCACCAGGTCCATTTTACCAAAATGAAGACATCTGGTCTGAACCCAGTCTGGAGATGGATTCCATGCAAATACTATGAAGTTCAAGGCAAATCACTGAATCACAGAATTGTTTAGGTTAGAAAGGACCTCTAAGATCATTGAGTCCAACCACTAACCCAATACTGCCAACTCCACCACTAAACCATGTCCCGAGGTGCCACATCTGGATGTCTTTTAAATACCTCCAGGGATGGTGATTCCAACACTTTCTTAGGCAGCCTATTCTAATGCTTGACAGACCTTCCTGTGAAGAAATTTTTCCTAATATGGAATATAAACCTCCCCTGGTGCAACTTGAGGCTGTTTCCTCTTGTCCTCCTGCTTGTTATGTGGGAGAAGACTGACTCCCACCTTGCTACAACCTCCCGTCTTCCTGAGAAACTTCACTTCTGTTTTCCTGGTTTCTTGGAAGGCAGATGTATTCTTAGCTACAAAGTGAGTAAGCAGCATTTGGTGGGCCCCAAAAGCTGGGAGGTCTTATGCTGAGCCTCCTGTGGACTAGACATTGACAGAACTACCCAATAGGCTTTCATAAAAATAAGCAGGCAGCCTTGATCTAGAGTGATCATTGCCAGATACACAACACTAAGCTGTAAATGTGCACTATGGTTTAGAAAGCTAATTCCAGCACAAGATATACCAACTGCATCCAGGCTGAAATGATTTCAGTGGTCTTTCAGATGAATTTGTAATATCCAGCACTTTGTCACTGAAGTGGTACCAAAAATAACAGCAACAAGACATCCAAGGCAAAAAGGAGGTGAGGCTTCAGAAGCTGCATACATTTTCTAAAGCCAAAGGACGAACACCGCATTGTTGGAAAAGCTATGCAGCGACATAATTCGGAATTTACTGTCAACTTTCAACTAGTCTGAGCAGATTTTCCAGTTTGTGGGTTAGGTTTGTGCTGAAGTGTGTTTGATCTGGAAGTCATCTGGTCCCCTTCTGGTACACCTCACTTTGCACTCAGTGGTGTCTGGTGTCTGCTGGCCTCTCTGTCCTACATCACACCCACCCTGTAGGTTCACATATAGTTGGCACAACACATTTCTGGATTACCACACTCTTTTTGTGTCCCTGCTTATCAGAGCTGGCTGCACTGCATGCATGTAGCACTGAAAGCACACCCAAAACACTAGTTTCGAGATGGTCTGATTTCAAGATTCAAGCCTTTCAAGAACCATACAGAACAATGCAGGATTTTCCATTTAGACAGCCTGTGTCACTTAAGAGTGATATTATCTACACCAATATGTGCAGGTATTTAATATAAATTGCTATGTCCTACCTAGTAAAACATAGTTTCTGCTGGAGCTCTGTTTCCCTTTGAATTTTTAAAAATAACTTGACAGGTTAGCCCATTTTACAAGTCAGCGAGTCTAACACGGTACCGTGCCTTAGCAATGAGTGCCTTCAAAAAGAATACTGCTAAATTTAACTTCCTCAAAAAGTGCTAGTACAGTGCTCTCACAGATCTAACACATACATGTTGTGCAGTCCTGAAGAGTAGTAGGACAGAGTAGGGCTGGGAGAGCGGGTCTGCTGTCGTGCAGGTTTGACTGTACGAGGAGGGATGGAAGGACTGGTGGAGGATGGTTTTGAACTCCGTGGTGGGACCGGGGGAGCATTCAGGAGTCTGCATTCCTCTTTTACCTGTGCAAAAGAAGAACCTGTAAGTAAACAGCAAGACAATCTGGGTAACAGTCAGCAGTCAACAGGCAGCAGTCTCAATCAGACGAAACACATCTGGTTCTGCCTTGTTCTTTGAAAGGAAATAATTAAAAAAGGGAGAAGAGAAAAATGAAAAAGTATCTATAATTGCAACAGTATGTACCTGTCAAAGAAGTCCAAAAGAACACTTTGCCACTAGCAGAGCTACTACTAACCTTTTTTAGGGTGCATTTCAGTAGTTTGATATCCTCTCATTTAAAAAGTACCAACTATGAAACAATGTAAAAGAACATTCCAGTAATACAGCAAATCAGACAGACACTTCCTGATATTAGACATTTTGTAAGGAGCAATTCATTAGGCCAAAACTTCATTAGTATTATTTACTAAAATGTAATAAACCAAGCTTATGTAATGAAAAGACCTCAGCAGATTTCAATGTTTCCTGACTTCACCAGTGATATTCAGCTACCCAGCTCTAGGACAATTCCCAGCCTCCCTCCTTCAGGAATAGTACATGTATATTACATGTAGCAGCTGCTGGGATTCAAACTTGAAGCTTCAGTCCTTCTGTGGCTGTCAAAGCAGTCCAGGATAAGATTGTACAAAATGTAGAAGTGGAAAAGTGTGGGCAGAAGAGCCTGTTGAAATAATGCCCCCAACCAACACGTTTGCTTTGTGCAGCCAGACAACCTTACAGCTTAAAACACACAAGTGTAGCACTGCTTACCTGACATTTAGTTTGGTCTGCCTAGGTAGGAGCAAAATGCCAAGATCCATCCCCACAGAAAAAATTATGGAATTAAGAACTTAATCTCATCAGGACATATTTCAGAGAGCAACTTTATTTAGTAGGGCTAGAGGTGAGCAGGGCTACTGGGAATTAGGCTGCCAGGTAGGATTTTTGATGACTCATCTGCCTCTGGGCATGAAGAGACCTCTATGTTCTCCTTGTCTGAAAAAGTCTTAGATGCATCAGAAAAGGGAAATTATTTCTGTGGTTGAAAGTTACAGTTTATTTTTACATTTTACAATGCTGCAGAACTAAAAGTTATCTTAGCAGTTCTGCAACACATAATTAGCAATTAAAGTGATTTAATTTATTTAACAACAAAATAAATGTGGAACCTTTTGCAATCAATTTGAGTGCTTTCAAAATGTGACAACTCTTTTAGTACTTTTGTGAAATGGAAAATTTGGGACGCTGTAGTACATTTTTTCCCTAATTCAAAACAAGTCAAAATTACAGGAAATGCCCAACAGCACAAAACACTGAAATAAATCTTTTTCTAAGGGTTCTTATTTGTTCTTTCAAGGAAAAGAGAAAAAAAGAAGAATCAATTTTATTCATGTTTGTTATTGAATTCAAACATAAAACTCTTCAACCATTTTAGTGCTGTGCCCCCAGGATGCCTGAGGATTTTCTTTTCCCCCCAAGTCAAACTAGGCAAAGTTAATACTGCGTGCTATTGAATATATATCCATGGGATTTGAGAGACCATTCATGGGAGCTCTTTGAGCACAGCAGATGGTCAAAGGGTTAAAGGGATTCTTTCCTGGGAAGACTGCTGGCATTCAAAGGTGCTGGCATAACAAACTATGCCAAACTCCCTTGCTGACCTAGATTGCAGATGAGAACAAGGCCATAAATAATACTGGTTTGCAGCCCCAGTTGGTCCCTGTCACAAGACCACAATTGCAGCTGCCTGTGAAAAACCCCAGGAAACCCAGCAGGGGAATAAAAAGGAGAGATTTTGCAGGTGAAACTGATAAGAGCAAGGGGAAGCTTAGGAGGAGAGTTATCCTCTCTAGGTCCGAGAGAACAGCAAAGAAATAAATGTGGGAGATGAGTGTAACAGCCACAGTGCAACATGACCATCACCTCAATGGCTGCTGCTCTTAGTAGGAAATACTTCTTGTCCTGGAAGCACTAGATGCCGTACAGCTGTCAGATACAGATAAAACACATTTGCACTGCACAACCTGAGACTTCTATTCAACACTGAGTCTGAGCTTTCCCATGCTTCAGCCCTCCTTCCTGTGACCTGGGAATGGTGATCCCTTTCTGATGGCATGAGGTTCTACGTTGATTTTAAGAACTCTGCTCCTTTTCTTTGCTGTTAGCCCAAGCCCTGCCTGCACTCCCTGGGCCCTGGGGTGTCACTCCTGAATCTGGGCATCACAGGTGCTTGTCTCAGTGACCACTTCAGAGGCTGGCAGGATAAAACCCATCCTGTCACTGGCATGCACAAGCGCAATACAGAGCAGTCCAGTGCTCCTTGCCCACAGGAACCTGAACTTCCGGCACACTCCACTGGGGACGTGCTTTATGTCAAGCAGGAAAACAGCCTCTGATTTTATGCAAATTAGTGTTTGGGGACTGAAGCAATTACTATTTTACAGGCCTTAATTCAGAGGTCATTTCCCCCTCTCCTACCTTCTGCTTTCACCTTACTTGGATTTTCTGGAAGGTATTTAGAAAATACACATGAAATATCAGAATGCTTCATCCTGCTGGAGAGAAGAAAATCACAACAGCTTCTGAAATACCCAGATGTCCTTTTCTCTCCTGCAAACAGCTCCTGGACACACATTTTAAATTTAGTGCATGCAAAAATGCAATTGCCAGCCAACCTTTACACAGAAACACTATGGAATATCATTCTAGAGGCAGTGATGACTAAACCACATGTTCATCAGCAGCTCCTAAGATCTACTTACTCTATAAATACCTACATGGAAACCATGCAAACATCTCCTTGGCCCTAGCCCACGGGTTAATTCAGTAGGTCGCTGATAGTCATTCTAAAGGTGTTCTGGGAAGCCATAAAAGCGAGCCTAAATTATTATGATCTATAGAAATGTAGGGGTTTAATTTTGTTTTATTTTTAATGGGGTTACACCCCCTGTCCACCTCTAAATGCAACTTAATACCTTTAGCAGAAATTATTTCTCCACTATGGCTAGAAAGCAATACTGAAATTGCTGACAGCGTTCACACGTTACCTCAGTAATGTAAGATCCACATGGCAAAATTGCATACTTTCCAAAATAACTTTAAAAGGCAACATACACATCTATCCCAAATGTCACCCTGCTGCCTCCAAAACGGAGTCACTATGCCATGAGGATTTCCCAGATATGAGGGTCCACATGAATGCTGTGCAGGTGCTTCACAGCTCTCCCAGCACCCCACTGCCCACGCCTCAGGCATGACACAAGACACTCACTCATTCCTCAAGGTGATCCAGGCAGTCACCCCCATGCCAGAAGGGCTGCCTTCCTCCCCCACCACCTACTCCCCAGTGCTGGTTCCAGTACTCCTTTGACCCTGTGCTGAAGCAGTTCAGCTCACAGAAATTAGCAGGAAACTAATCATTTTCCAGATCCAGACCTGGCTGCCTGCCCAAACACAGGAGTGCCAGAGCCAGCACAAAAGAGAAGCCAGGACCATGTGGCTGGGAAAAGAGGAGGAGGAGGAGGGTGGGACCAGCCCCACACCAGTTAACATCAGTGTTGGCTGCCAGGGAGTCTCATCCCAATATGGTGCTGCTGGGAACTTGTCCAAGAGTCTGGACAAAGTGTCAGTGCATACCTGACCTCAGAAGCAAGGAAGTGCTCTTGGGTTCCCTGCACTTAGACACTGCACGTAAACACTTTGCTAAGAAGACACAATGTCTTGACTTTCCTGGCTGCTGAAGCTGCTACATCTGCTTTTCAGGGAAGTTTTGGTGGCACACTGCAAGGGTTGCAGTTGGGTATTTCATGCCTGCATGGTGACCTCCCCCCCTCTCCTTGCTGCACCTCTCCAGCAGACGCAGAGCCTGGCCAAGAGGAATCCTGATGGCAATTTGCTGCAGACTAACCCAGCATGAACAAACACAACTTAGTTTTCAACCAGATTGTCACTTGACTCACGATGGAAAGGCCAGAAAGGTATGGGATCACCACGGTTTGCTGCAGTTTGGTCTCAAATTAGTCTTAGTTTACTGTACAGCCATGCTCTTTAAATTACCATAGGGCTTGCAAGTAGGATTATATTTTTTTTTAATTCCAGAAAAAAATCTGCATAACAAATTTGTGAAATAATGATATCCGGCAGGATTCATGTTATATAAGTATATTTACATTTTGCTAAAGACTCCTAGACACCCTTTCCTGGAGGACTATTTTTTTCCTTGCTTTTTTTAAAAAAACCCTAATTTTTAGGACTAAGTCAAGATACCACGTGATGGGTGGATTCTGCAGCCAGTCCACATAAGCTCCTGTTAAAACATATTCGTACTTCCACCTCTTAAGACTCCATGACATTTCAGGTTTGGAGAAGTGATTTCTCCCATGAGTTTTCATTAGAAACCCTAGGCCAGGAAACATGCTCTGTTTAAGACTGAGTCCTCTAGAAGGCTCATTTATCAATTCTGCAGAGTTCCTATTTAAACACATTTTCTTTCAATAAGCAGTATAGAGCAATTTGTTCAGGTCTGGTTTGATAAAGTTCCCTTGAGAAGAATGACGCTTAACAGTCTTCAAAATCTGACATAGACTCAGAGAAGACAATCTCTCATTAAAAAACACTTCAAATCCATAAAAATTCTAGCCTGTCCTCATTATCAGGGCCTGTTAATTGAAGATGCACGCACTAAGGTCATCTGAGGCAGTTCTGAGTGGAGTCATGACACACACTTTGGCCACAGAAAACATGAGAAAACATGGAGGCCACATGGAGAGATGATGTGGAAAGCAAGAGAAGGAAGTGACTCAGCAATTCTTAGACCTTGTTTGTGTGAGCAAAAAAGCTCAATAAATATCACCTGAAAGTATCAGGCTAAGCTACTAGATCAGTAATATTAAATATACTCTGGTAATTTTTAAGACATAACTTACACATGTAGGAAGCTCACTGAAGTTGCACATGTTGCAAGGTCTCACTATATTCTTGCCCTGTATGTGCCCTTCCCCCCCTTACCAAGTCTTTCCTAAAAATATCTCCAAGCAAACTCTTCACCATCTAAAAAAAGAAACAAACTAACATAAATAATCCTGACTTACTGCTTCTGATTTGGGAGGCACTGGAGGTGGAGGTAGGGAAACATCTGAAGACTTTGTGGTTGCTCCGACAGTTGCAGGCACAGGATGAGATGCAGTACCACACTTTGATCGGAAAGACCCTCTGTAGTTGTCACATTTGTTCTTCTCACTTAGTGAGCAAGAGAGAGGCTGGTCACCACCTTTTCCAGACCCTTGGTCCAACCAGAGCTCTTCGTAAGGAAGTTCTGGTTTTGTAGGCAGAAACATTGATTCTTCGCTAACTTCAGGGAAAAGGTAATCGCTGCCACTGTCACCAGACTCCTGGTACTGAAGAGCATCATGAGAGAACAGGGCCCACTCATTACACAAGTCCCTGCAGCCATGGAGATTCACCTCACTATTCCCATGCAAGTTGTTTCCATAGACACACACTGAAAGCCGGTGGAAGGACTGTGTGAGCTCATCCCGCGCGTAGCTGAGGGAGTTTGGCACGTGGCTGTGCCCTGTGCATCGGCTCTTCTTCGGGCTCTTGCAGTCTTCGTTCCAGTCAGTTTTCACATCTCGCACAGCACGGGAATACTCATCTATGTCAAACTGTTCCTGGCATATATTAAACCAGTGCTGGATGAGGGACTCGTGCCACAGCTCCCCCTTCACCAGACTGTCAGGTAGAATAAACTTCGGAAGTGTCAAGTGCAAGGGAAAATGCATGGGAATAATTTTGTTTCCACGAAGCACACAACAAACCACTACAGTCTTGGTTTGAATGTTGACAAACTTGTACCTGTGCCCTTCGCGGATAAAATGTAGGTCATAAGGGTTCCTTGGTGTAGGACTAGGCACAGTCACATTAACGGGCAGCCTGGTCTTTTCCACTATATTGCGAATCGTGTGCTCACCTTCTTGCATCTGCACCTCCAGTGGGCTGCGGGTGCTAAACTTGCCCTTACACTGGAAAGGGAGACTGATGCTCTCATTGGTCCTGTGGTTCATGCAGATGAGGCAGGGCATTTTGCCTCTGCCTAGTTTACTAATTGAATTAAGTTTTCCGATTTTTTTGAAGATGGTGTTAAGTCGTGACTTCTCCTTAGAAGACTTTGCATAAAGGATTTCTGCTTGCCCCATTAAAGTGAGCTCATCCCCAGTACTAAGGGTAATGTTGTAAACTTCAGTGTCTTCATTGCATTCACCTGAAGCCACCTGTAAAATAATAACAAAAAATTTGGTTTTCCCCCACTGAAGACAATACTTCAAATCATATCAAATCTACTGAGACTGATCTTACAAGACTATGCACTGGGGAGAAATGAAAGTAACTCTGTTTGAACAGCTGACTGGTCAAGTGCACGGTGTTTAACCCGAAGCTCAGCTAGATAACCTTTTTTTATTGTTCTACACGTTCCTGCATCTTACTTGAGAGGAAATAGCCACTTGAAACTGCCAAAGAAGGCATGAGAACAAACACAACCACTTTTTAAAGAAAGGACAAATCCACATATCCCAGCAATTCAAATAGTCACTTGTGTCATACAGTTATGACAGACCATGTCTGGATTCTCTTGGGTATCTTTTCCCTGCACCCTTGTTTTTGCTGTTTGTTAGAACTTATTTGCCAGGCTCTTGAAGGAAACAAACTTCTTTTACCATCTTCAGCTCCCTGAGGAGAAGAAAAGGTGATCTCATCATTACAGATGAAGCATATCCTTTTGTTATAATCTTTTCCAGGCTAGAGGGAATGACAGATGACATCTATTCCCTGAAGGAGAAGTCAAGAATATTGGTCTATCCCATATGCCTAACTCCCCCTTCGCTTTGCTCTCCTAGTCATAGACTTCCTTCCTCATTTTTTGATCATAATTGCAATTTAAGAGATTAAACAACATATGCACAGCCATGTGTGAGCTGGTCTAGTATGGAAATTGCACCAGGGGAAAAAAAAAAAGACAAAACAGATGTCCAAGGCTCATTTGTTCCTGAAGTTATTTCCTTAAGACTGAAATAACTCTTTATAGACAAGATTGCTCTGCTTCATATTTGATTGGTTTAACACGAAATGTCCTTTTCAAGGACCTAACAGAACCCACCCAATTCTTCTGTAGCAGCAGCAGCAACCTACTCATAAAGGAAGGTGCATCAGATAAAAACTACTTGTCTGTTATAGACCATTATATTTGAGAATACTGAACATACTAAAAAAAATTCAAATGAAAACATATTCTAAAATTATATATCCTTTCCTCGCCTCTGCAACTCCTAAAGACTGCACGGACCTGTGTGAAGTTCAAAGTTCAGGCTTCAAACTCTGGTATCATCACTCAATAGCCATTGCATGAAATCAAAGCTGTAATTCCAGTACGTTAATAAGTGACAAGCAATGTGAATAATGTTTCCTCCTGTGAGAGTATTTGTAGAACTGTGATTATCTTCCACAAGCCTCTCAGAGCAATTGCAGGCAGCTCAGGAGAGGTGCGCCGCCTTAGCACTTCAGGCTTGGGATTTCCGGAACGGAAGTCATTCAAGCCCTGAATTATCTAAACAAATAGTAATTGGTCTAATCCAGGAAACTACTAGGATTTATAGTACGTAATACTCATTCACAGTTTGCACCACTGGCCTGACAGCATTTTGAAACACCACGACATGAAAGAAAAGCACTTGAGTTTCTTTTTGCTGATAACGCCAGTGTGATGCTCATTGCTGGTTTCTCCTCAAAACCTCCACAGAGAGCTGTATTTGAGCTGCAGCTGTGTAGCCCTGCCACAGGCAGGGCTGATAAGGGCTGAGGACACACAGGGCTCTGTGTATGCACTGTGAGATCCCCTGTTCTCTTTCTGAGAGGGCACGTTCTCTAAGAATATTGGTTTGTAGCATCGACAAGTTCACACAAATGTCTGCTTTGACAATGCCAGCTACACTGTCAGACGTTTTCACTCAATACAGTATGATTACAGCTTTTTCTCACTTCTTGTGGGACACCATCTGGAGCGAGGAAGGTGTCACAATCTACAACCATGGGAGCTCCTGCTTGGTCAACTTGCAATTCCCTGGGGATTCACAAACAAACAAGCCACTGCAGAAGGAAATGTGAAACCACAGAGGTAACTGAATGGCCAAGCTTCACAACGAAGGTAACGCAAAGCAGCTACTTATTACTGGCATCCATTTCAAGCAGCCAAATAGCAAATGGACTTTTAGAGTCAACAGGCATGTTTAAAGATAAAATTATTCTGAATTAAAGAACTCTGTTTTTCAGACTTCTTTATTTTTAAGAAGTTTTCTTTATTTTTAAAAATTTCTTTATTTTTAAAAAATACAGTCACAGGATAAAAATGGTTGAATAAGGCTGAATTTTACTGTGCTGGAACAAAATAAAGATGGTTCTAGTTTGACATTCTGAGAAAAATACTGTTCTGCACTCTTCCTTCTAAGCAAAAATATAAGGTATCAGTTGCTATTCAAACTTGTACTAGAAACCCGAAAAAGTGAAATGAAAAGTCTAAGACCACACAACTTTATCCACTAAACTCTGGTTGTGGTGATGTTAGAAATGCTGATACATCTTATCAGGTTAAGTATACTTTAAAATTTAGGTTCTGAAAGTCAAGAAAATTAACACTTCTCCTTTTGTGTTAGGTTAATTCATTCATTACCACATACTAATAAACATTATAAAGCATACACGGTAGGTAAATACATGTTCCAGAATATTAGCAACAGAGATATACCATACATATAACATATATATATATCTTAATGCACACAGCAATGCACAGATATCTCTAAGCTTTTGTTTCTCAGATTACATAGCTAAATGATCTTTGACAAGCTTTGTCCTTGTAGCAATGACATACGAAAATCAAATTTGCTCTATCTTGTTCACTCAAACATTTCACTTTATCAACAGCCACAAAACTTACAAAAACATCAACAAAGAGCCGTGGACTGTAGCTGGGCTTTACACTGCCTTTGATGAACTTTACAGGGCCTCCATAAGCCCAGGAACGAGTCAGGCATAGCAGTTCCTCAGAACCGATGGGACAAGAGGAAATGGTCTCAAGTTATACCAGACAAGGTTTAGATTGGATACCGGGAAAAATTTCTTTACGGAAAGGGTTGTCATTCATTGGAACAGGTTGTCCAGGGAAGTGGTTGAGTCACTATTCCTGGAAGAATTTATAAGATATGTAGATGTGGAGCTTAGGGACAATAGTTTACTGGTGGAACTTGGCAGGGCTGGGTTAATGATCAGTCTTGATAATCTCAAAGGTCTTTTCTGACCTAAATGATTCTATGGTTCTATGCCAAATAGTATACTTAAAGGCAACATGAAAGTGCATATCATAAATTATTCCTAGAAGGCAGAACGGGTAACACCACAGCAAACCTGTCTGTTTCTACCCTCTAAGCTTCCAGCACTGACCCAGCAGGGTTTGCATCTTCAAGCACCCCCTATGCTCCTCCACATCCCCACAGAGAGTATTCCCTGGAAACCCTCTGCTTCCTGCTGTGCAATTGCTGGCAGGGTGTAGCAGAGCCCTACGCTATTTTATACACTTGGACCTGCTAGAGGCAATTCCCAGCCCCTGCATGTGACACAGCATATCACTGGTATATGACAGAGAAGACAGAAGTGCAGAGTGGCAGAGTTAAGGTGGTCCAGATCACAGACTGATGCAGAAATAATCACATATTTTTGTGGTAAACTGTTAAAATCTCATTATAATTCTGGGAAACAGGTACCATACAGAAGGCAGAAAGTACCTGAGAAGCCTTAATTCAACTGCATCACATACCCAGGAGGGCTTTATGCATATGAAACAATATTGCAAGAATGACTCCTGAAGTTTTACTTCACCTGCCCCCCTCTTTTGCCCTTCCCTCCCAGTTTTCACTGTCTAGTAATAGTCGAGAATAATCAGTCCTCCCAGCTTTGTGAAAGAGGCAGTGCTTGCCACACTATACTCCAAAGCCATCTAGAAGTCCCTAGTAGATGTTCAAACTGGACAATTCCTACTGCACAGGACCGCCCAGAATCAGAACTTAGTCCCTGCTGTACTTGCCCTCCCCCTCCCTACCACCAGATGTTGATCCATACTAACCATTCACTTTTGATGCTAGGATGCTGACCAGAAAGGTTACAGGTTTACAGACACCTTATCAAACACACTGCAAAACAGCAGTGGGTTAAGTCACTATAATGTTTTAAATTTTTAGACTCATGCAATTTTAGAAGCCAACTATATCTCCTGCAGAAGACAGGCATTAGGAAAGTGAGAATGATTATTTAGGAAGTATACTGTTTCTTTTGCTTAAGGAAAGGTTAACTCAGAATAATAGACTTGATAACACCTGAGTCAATATCCTGTCTCGGACTACAATTGTTCTAATTTGTTAAAGTTTGAAGTAGAAGTCTTTAATCACTTGGACACATATGAACACCTTGTAAAAATTTTTTGTGACTTTTTATTGCTTGTTATACCTGCTAGGTTTTATTAGAGTAATGTGAGCGTTGCATTCACATTAAAAACACAAATAGGATTTTTTTTTGGTAGAGCTCTTTGTAACTGTGAGGTCTCTGATTCATAGCTACAGCATAAGGTTTTTACTATTATAGCCAACTGACCAATCATAGCACTACATGTATATTTAATACATAATATATACTAAGTACAAATTTTTTTTTACAAGTCACAAAATGGAAAAAGATTTTTAAAATGTAAAACAGAGTCTTCAAAAGAGCTGTTAGCAGTAAAAATGAGCGAACTTTTTCAAGGAAGTTTACTATATTCAGTGAGACAGTATCCCATTTTTGTTTTTTAAATGTCTGTCACCCAAGACAGAATCAGCAAGTACAACTCTTCATGTTAGCATACATGTATTTCCCCCTGGGCTAAGAGGGACTTTGACCTAATTGCTACACTGGAAGATGGCTTCAGTGGTCTTTAAAGATGTCTCACATAAATCAAACCATTCTAAAAATGACCCAAAATATGGCAGGTAATAGTGCAGAGCTCTAACATGAAGCATCTTTTCATATGGGATGTAAGGAAAGCCACCTCAGAGAGCCACTGTGAGGCAATGGTGCTCACCATCCAGGCTCCTTTCAGAGTAGAAACCCTCACAGGTACATCAACATAGGCACACAGCAGCAGGTCTACTTTCTCTGCTTCTCTCTCACTCAAGCCGACCACAGATCCTGGAGGAAAGAGGCAGCCACAGCAGTGCACTGCCAATGAAAGACACCAAGGCATCGAGCCTGTGTGTACTGGGGACAGAGGGGAAAAAGAAGGAAAAAAAACCCCTTTGGAGCCAAGACCTACAGTCTCATAAGGCTAGCATCAAGCCACAAGGCAAAGAGGGGACTGAAAGCACTAACTCTTGAGGGGAGGCATTAAGAATCATCAGAAAATTTGGAGCCAAAACCTACACACCAACTAATTTCAAAGTCACAACTGCAGCACTTAAAAATGCCACTGTAGGTTACAACCTTCTATATATGCGCTTTATGGAAACTCAGGGTGAGTTTATGAGAGGCATTAGAATTACAATGAGGAGATCAATTTTACTTCACTGTACTGCATTCACTTTTGTCAAAAAAAAAAAAAAAGAAAAGAAAAAAGAGAGCAAAGTTTTCACTACAAATTTATTTCTGGCAAAATGCACACTGTATGGGCCAGCACAGTTAAATCACTATGAAAAGAGAATTGTATTAAAAAAATAAACAATTCCAGTATCAAAAGTTCACACCAGTCATACAACGTCTTTGACAGGTAAGAAAAGAATCAATTTAGGGCTAATTCACTAGCCCACCTCTCCGTTCTGGAAGGTGTCTGCAAACAGCTTCACAGACTCTCCAGGGAGAGCAAGTGATGTCTTCAAGACAAAAATGTTTTTCTGGAAAACATGAAGGGTCCTGCAACACTAAGTGGGCTGGTTTTTAGAGTGTAGGAATCCATTGCTTGTCCAATGTTCAATCTATCAGATAATATTGTTGCTTTTTAAGAGAACTTTATGTGAATTGTGCTCAGTATGACATGGGGGTTTTGTTCCTGGTTTTGTTTTTAAGTCTTAGTGCAAATAGCTTCTTGGGTGTTTGTACAGACTGCCACCTGTATGGGACCAGAGCAGCGGACAGCAGAAATCTATTGCTGTTGCTTCAGCAAAAGCTAGAGCCCTGCAGTAATTCTTAATATTTTTACTCCTAGTAGTAGAGAATCAAAAATTTCTCATCTTTGTAGCATAATGCTGTTACCTAAACAAAATTCTTTACAATTATGCACTGGATATTAATGTAAGAAAGGTTCCCACCTATTTGGTCAGTGAAGAAAGGACACAATGCCTCCAATTTTTCATCAGGAGCAGATTAAATACCTATTGACTGAGTGAAACTCACTTATCCCCAGAACACTCTAAATTGCTGTGCCTGTAGGTGCTGCTGGCCACTGGGTACCTGAGGCAACCAATGGGTGTCCAAGCGCAGTACTGATGTGTACAGATGCCCAAAGGAGTTACTGTAAGAGGATTTAGCCATTACAAGAGTTTTATTTAATCTAAAATTTTTGTTTGCTGTTCTGTGAAAAGTGACTCCACCTTCCCCTCCCAGCTGTGCTTGATGGCATGTGTCACAGCCGTCCTTCAAATACTCAGCAGGTCCCCAAGCCCCTGCCTCAGCACACTGCCCAGTAAGCCGGCCCAGCTGCAAAGCCACGAGGAAGGAAGGGAGACCCAGCTCCCCTGACTCTCCAGGATAGGGTGGCCGATTTTTCTCTTTAAAAATGAATACACAAAGCAAAAATAAAGTAACTCCCCTGGAGAAGATCTCACAGGCCACCACAGAGAGAAGGCAGTTTGCTGAGTGGCAGCACTGTTGTAAAGTCTGGCCAGAGCAGCAAAGGATTTACACAGAGAAGCAAGGTTTGCACCAAGTGGATCCATAACCACGGTGTACAGGCACATGCAAGACCAACAAGCAGAGAAAAGTATTCAGTGACTGTCTGGTGGCACCATGTAAATCTAGAGGCTCTTTCTTCAAAAATTATCCATGAAAGACTCGAGTGCTTGGAAAAGAAAGATTTCCCAGACTTCAGAGTTTCTTCTCATCTTAAGTGCTTTGCTTCATCAGATATTTTAGGCATTTTTTTTAATTTTTATATCGGATTAGCTACTTTCTGATACTCTCTTCTGAATTTAAATGGGCACATGGCATTGGACAGAAATCAACCATACTTAGTATTCCTCCCTTTGCTCTAATCAGCTTGACAGAATCTCTCCTATATTAAAATTTTAGCGTACATAATTCTCTTGCATGTAAAGGGTTATTAAACACTTTAATAAATCCTGCTAAGTTCATTTATTTTTTGGAAGATGATAACCTTGGAATAGACTTCTATGAAACTGGAAAAACTGCCAAGAGGAATACTGCCAAGATAACTGTGTAACTAGGTTAAACCTGGATTATTACTACTGTTATTTACATTAAGGAGTATCACTATAAAACCTTTTAAAAATGGATTTGGTATCTAACAGTAAGCTATGCTTATTTCTCAGTTTGCTAAATATGACAAAGAGTTTTAAAAACACCCATATTAAACTCAAGATATGGTATTTTACATTTAAACGAGCCTGTAGACAAATACTTTTCTCCCTAGAAAATTAAAGCTGCACATTTTACTGTGCCACTCCCTTGATTTGCTCATTGATCAAACAAGAAATAACAGCACAGCAGTGGAGAAGACTAGCAGTCCCAAGGTCACACTGATTTTTCTGGGCAGAAATGAAATTTTCTTGTTACCTCAATTGCCCAACTACATCCTGAAGATACAAAAGTGTTCTGACTTTCTCATGTAGCCTTCATTGATGAAAGCCTCTTTTACATGTTCAGGTTAATGGGCAGCACAAATGAAAACAACCTGCTGTCTTCAAAGATGTGAGTCTGCGTCACTAAATAAATTAAACAATGAGCTCTTGCACTTACAGCAGTCTTCAACACCTATCAAAATTTGTGAACTAGCTGGTGTCTCCCATCTGTAACAGTGCAAGAAAGAGAAAAAGCCATTAAAAGGTTTTTATACAAACCTCTTCTTGCTACACATGGGACCAGGAAACTGTGTACTGGTTTTGCACCAGCAGTGTCAGCCAGTGTGCCCTGTAGGGTACACGATGTGGATCTACACCAGTGCACCCCAGCTCTAGGATGCTCTTCTACCAGTCTGAGGAGACGTATCAACTCAAGCAAACCAGACGAGCCTGAAGATCACTCTCTTCTGATGGCAGAGCTGACCTACCCTGTGTGGTGTCACACATATAGGCAAGACAAGGAAGAACAACTTCTGTCTTCGTTGTTTCATGCCACTGCAGTGTGTTTGGTGATAGCAAGCCATCTCGTGGGATCACCTTTTGATGAGCCCAAGAGGCGTGCACATGCAAACAAACACACATGCACACAGAGAACAAGTGTGTCTTTTTTTTATTGTTGTTTTGGTTTTGGTTTTTTTGTTTTATTCACAATGTCATTTAGCTGAAGTAATTTTGAGACAAGTAACCCCATCATTTCATCCTGTGTGCTCTCTGAGAATGAGGCTTTCTGGACAGGGATTTGAGCAGCTGCTGCTTAGCAGAGAATGAAATTCAGACTGCTGGAGGGGGAGGTGAAAGGGGGCAACAAACAACATTTGTTTAAAATCTGGCAGGAGTATCCTAATTAAATGAATTATTGAATGGATCATCAGGACTGCTCCTCAAAGTGCCATGGGGCAGGAGAGCCCTTAGGGGACATGTTGGTTTAAGACTGCATAAATGATCCCAAAGAGCACCATCACCGAATGTGGAACACTAAAGGCTCATTTGTCTCAAAAATCACACTTCCCACACAGCACTGTTGCTCACTTGCCATGTATATAAAAGTTGTAACAGTTAATCATTTAGACAGGGATAAATATTTATTCAGGGACTACCTTAACGTTGAATGTTATTTCCTCCATGACGTAAACTCGTTCAGGAAATGCTTTAGCCACCTCCTCCACACTGTTAAAATACTGCACTGGCTCCTTAATATCTCGGTCTTGTTCCAGCAGCTTAAACTGCCCTGAAAACAGATGATAAACAGAAGAATTGTAAGATATTTATACTGGACAACTGTCACTGTGGCAACTGCTGGCTCAACTTCATCAGTGTTTCGCTCAGTCAGTTTTTTTGGTTATTAGCAACCAAACAAGAAGACGAAAGATTGCAGAGATTCTCCTGAACCTGCCATGAAAGACACCCAATTTCACCAGGTTGGAATGAAAAGAACATGTGGCAGTCAAAGTTAAATTTAAAAAGACCATTTTATCACATGCTCTCTAGAAATAGTAAATAACTATGGCGGCATTTGTGTTTGTGTACATAATTCAGTGTCATAGCATCTGCACAGACAGCACTTTTTGGCCCTTATTATTAAAAGTTTTACAGAAAGAAAACACACCTATTAGTACAAACCTCCAAAACAACAAACATAAGGGCTTGGGGGTTGTTTGTAGCATCATCAAACAGCTATTAAAATGCTAGGCTAAAACCCTTTTCCCCCCAGGCTTCCCTAAGAGTGGAATATCATGTAACTTTCCTTAATCATAAACTAAGCCCTTTGAGACCTTTAGCTAACATAAGATATTAAGCCATACACATTTAAAACCCTTTTGAAGATGGTTGCCTTCAGAAGAGCATAAGAAAGAAGTGTTTCTTACTGACTTTACCTCCCCCCAGCATGACAACCTTGGCTATTTTCTAAGTCTTGTAAAAGGCAAGAAGTAACGTGGAGGGAGCCACCTTGGGCAGACCTGCCAGGGACAGCCAGGTGCATCAATCACCTCCGAGCATTATGAACTAAAAGTTTAAAAGCTTTATTTTATAAATACAGAGATAACAAAAGTTTAGACAGATATGTTTACTGTTTGTGTGACTTAAAATCAGTGGAGTGATCTTTCCAAATTTAGAAATGTTAAATACTACTAAGTTAAAGGCTGGTCTCAGCAAGACTTGATATAGGAAACAACTGCAGAAAATGAGAAAAAGACAGACTAAAATCTGTGATTTTACCATGGCTCCTGTAAATCACATTTTAAAATTAGCAATGCATGCAACCACTGGATTATTGTTCCCAAACAGTGCTCAGTTTCATTAAAATACAGCCAATACATGAGGATGTCAGCCACCTACAGAAATATTTTTCCACTCCTTCAGCATTCTTGTGCACAGCACCCTGTTGCCCCTTTACATCCCATCAGGCTTGAGACTTCAACGACACGTTCAGAGAATTCACCCACACTGAACTATTTCAGGCCACCTAACAGCAGAGGAGGAAACAAATGCAAACTCAGTGAGCCCTGACGCCCCATGAGAAAGATGAGTTCCGCCACCCTGCCAGGTGTGCGCACACACGTGCACCCACCCACACACGCCAGGAGAGGTGCAAGAGCAAGAGGCTCAGCTCCTGCACCCAACCCCAGCACTCTGCTGCCAGAGGCACACCCTTCTAATCAGTATGCTCGAGCACTGTGGTTGCAAGCCTAAATATCAACTTGTAAGGCAGAAGACTTCGTTTTATGCCCTTCCATATGTTTTGTCTTTCTCAAGTGACCACAGTAACTTGGAAGTATTATTAGCAGGGTAATTACAGATACCAGTACTTCTCACTGCAAGACTGTATTTTGTAAATGTTTTAATAACCTTCACCACACATGGTTGATTTGAAGTTCAACCAAGACAATTACAGAATCAACTATGTTGGAAAAGACCTCTGAGATCGAGTCCAACGTTTGACCTAACACCACCTTGTCAACTAGACCATGGCACTAAGTGCCACATCCAGTGTTGTCTTAAACACCTCCAGGGACAGTAGCTCCACCACCTCCCTGGGCAGCCCATTCCAATGCCCAGTCACTCACAATTCACACACAATTCATGTACTTTGAAGACCAACACCGGAGTAGAAGCAGCAGGACCTTTGGTCTGACCCACTGAAGCCCTTCCTATAGTGTAATACAGCAATGCAGCTGACTACAGGAATGGCTCCTCCAGGCCAGACCAAAGGTTTGCCTCGTGCAACGTTCTGCCTTAGACAGGAGTAAATGACAGCTGTGTAAGGGGGATGGATTTTAAGCACAATTAGTGATACCACCCAGAGTCTCCTCCACAGCTCTAGGAGGAACTCATGGCTCAAGGATGCCTAAAGCAGGGAAGGGGTGTCTTCAGGCTTAGGAGGTCCAGAGGTTTTCTTCCTTGTAAATTTGTTTAATTGCCAGTTTAATTACTGAAGGTAACTTGTAGACATATCCTCTCACCTCGACAAATTTTGGCAAACTCTTCTTCCAGAATTTACAGTACCTCTGGGATTAAGAGTACAAATTTTAGGAGTGATAAAGCTACACCTGGCAGACACTATGGGTAGCAACAGGAAACCTGACAGCGGACAAGCATTTGGTAAAATGCTTCACATACTCAAAAGAAACATGCCAGCATACTAAAGCTGAATTTCTCAGCCTACCAGCTCTGAGTCTCTTTGGTGCAAAGCAATGGAGGGGCCAGGCAGCCAACACCTCTGGGCGAGGGGAATCTGAACAATTAGCAGGGAGGTGCTCAGATAACTGATGCTGGAAAGTGTGTTGTGATTGATGCCAAGGCATGGAGATGGAGAGCTGAAGAGAGAACTGTGCTTTTAAATCCCCAGTCTGCCATACAGACCATGCAAGTCCTCGTTTCAGGATTTCCCTGTCAGCCACAGCCTAACCAAGAGGAAGATGCATTCCCCAGCTGTACAGATCCTTTCCTGTGCAGGCACCTTGCTTTCCTGCAAAGGAAACTCAAGAATGGGGGGGGAGCTGGGTAAAGTCAGACCTCCTCCTACGTGGAGTCAGGACGTGCCAGGACATCATGCAGCAGCAGGCACTATGAGTTGCATCAGGGAGCATTTGACAGCTCAGAAAAACCACTACTCTAGAGTGCAGAGCCAGTAACTGTATTTCACAGATAGTCATTAAGAGCAAGATGTTCTTAAATTTAACAGAAGCTGTCACAGAGTGTTCGTTCACCACGGGCTGACCTGAGGCTGTTGCTCTCTCCTGCCTGCTTCTCAATTGCTATCCTCTTTGACTACCAACACAGCCACTGAGATGCAACCCTAACTGATTGCCCAGTTTGGGATACAGCGGTCTGATTTGCAGGATCCCTAGCTGTGGTTACTATTCGAAGCAAGCTGTGATTAGAATTTATAACGACATGTCATACTTTAAGTTCCTCAAAGAAAAAAAGCCAAAACCACAGCAATTTTAAATCACCTCAGCAGACCTAAACCCACTGAGATTTCTTCTGATTTAACACTCCCCCCCATGTACAGAATGGAGTTGAATATGACACTGTATGGAAGCTACGTATTTTTTTGAAACTGTGATATACTGTAGTGATAATAGTTCAGAAAGAAATTGAGAATTCTCACTTCAGAGTGGGAACTGAGTTGGACCCAGTAACAAAGCATAAATTCACATGAACAAGGAAGGAAAACAGCACAGTGAATAGTAATACATGATATGAATGATATCCATCCAGCCCTTTGAATGAGACAGTGGTCTTTAATTCTAGGTTGTCTAGTTACTCTGTTCAGAAGCATAATAATACTATTTTTCTGTGACTGTTATGTATTTAATAACAGTCAATCTGGTGGCAAGAAAAGGCCAGTTACTCCTTGCAACCCGAAGTTCTACAAAAAAAGTCCCAAATTCCTCAGCACAGAACAAATACTTAAGGCTGTGTGCAACTGGGAGCAGAGTCTGCTCTCTATTGTACATTTACACATGTTCCTGTAAAAAAAGATAATAGAAAAAACTCATCAGCTGGAGCTTTGCTTCGGTACAAAGCAATGCTCAGAACTGTGTATGTCGCTATCTGTGCCATCCTTCCCGTCCTTCAGCTGAGCCTCACAAACACAAAGACGTCTGTGCCTTCACTGTTAATAAGCAGCAGTTCACGAGGAGGTTGATGACAGAGGAGTACACACAGATCCCAAAGCATATAATAGAAGGGCAGCATTAATCTCTGCCTGTTACGAAATCAAGAAGTATGCTGTGCATGGAAGCTGTCAGGGCTAGAAGTTAAAATGCCCCTTCCTTGAAAAAGACGGGTTTATAGCTTGAGATTTCCTATAAAGAGTTTTTTAAAATTTATTTCCTCATGGTAGAAGTATTAGAAGGAGAGAAAGAAGGGCTGAAGAGGAGACTACAATACACATTTGAGCCAGATGTCAAGTAACTAACTAATGGGGAGTAAGGAGACAATTTCTTACTATGTTTCTCCCTGGTCTCTATTCAAGTCACCATAAAAGAAAAAGACAGCCCAGCTGAAATACAAGTTTAATGGACATAAGTCTGGCTTGACTGCAAGTTGAAGTGGAATTTTATGACACTTTACAAGAGGCATGATTTCATTGGGAGACTTTACAGAACTGACAGCAAGCTTGAACAAACCACAGGCCAATTTAATTGTGTGTTAATGAGGAATTTAACAAAAAAATAAAGAAAATATAAAGCCCAAACTATACTTTTATAGAATTTCAGCCCTCTCTCTCTCATTAGCATGGAAAGAATAATGAAATGTTTCTGTAGCAAATCAGTGAAGGTTCAGAAAGATCAAATACCTGCATGGTCCACTGAGCAGGTGTGGCTTTTCCTTTGCAGCCAAACGCAAGGGAGAAATTAAAAACTCCTGCAAGCTTTCTATCTCTTTATCTTTCTGTCTGGCCTCTGGCAGGCACAGTATTGGAACAGTTTCATCCTAGTATATATTATCTCTGCAGATTATGAATTCTTATTTCTCTGTGAAGGTACTTACAGCAAAGACAGTAAATCCACTACAGCTGGAAATGAGTCTGGAAAGCTAAAAAGGCAGGGAAGAACCTAAACCAGGGTTTATTCTCCAGTTTATGAAGGCGTTTATTAAAATCCAATAGGAGTACGAAGATCAGCCCATCTTCCTTCTTGCCAGAGGTTGGCCTTGTAATGTCTGTGAGCAGGGGCATTAACCAGCTCTTTCTATTCCAGCTTCTGCTGCTTCCACTGC